CTACCATAATATCATACAATTACATTACATTTGCATACATTAAAAAAGATAACATTTCTGCCTCTGAAGACCAGATAATCTACCTTACCATTTGTATAGCCAGCTAAGTTAAGTGCCTGGGGACCCTGTGAATGAAGTGTGTCTTTGCTTGATTGTGTTTCTAGGATACAGCTTATAATAAAAGACCATGTATGTAAGCCACAATTCCCTCTTCACGCTTCCTTTTGCTCCAGGAGGGGTAGTAATTTTATTTTGATATATACTATCAGCCATACCTCTTACCTGTGCTCATTCAGCTGCACACATTAAGAGCAGGCAGACTGAGCAAGGCTCCCGCCGCCCTCTGCCTCACTCCACCCCTTAATCGCTCATTAACATGCAAATCCAGAAATAAGTAAAATTCTGGTTCCTTTCTACTCCTTTTCAGAGCCCAAGTTGCGTTAGTCCCAGAGATAAATTTATTTTACTGAAACGAATAGTTATATGTGCTGTACTACTAAATATGCACAAAATGTCGTTTATGGAGAACCTGTTTAATTCATGGGACTGGGACATTTGCAGAACTGATTGTGCCAAACACCCTGAGCCTTCTTATAGGCTATCCTCCATCCTCAACTGGACAGAAAACTATTATGGATAAAAGGACAGATTAGACCAGTTTATTAAGTTACCAAATGGCTTCAGGGTTTTGGACCTCTCTTTAGGGAAATTCCATCAATGTAGTGTCTTTTTCTGGTGCCAGGTTTTGTTAGGTGTACTAAATGTGACTGATCTGTCTGTAAAAATAGCCTCAGCCTTGAGCAGCCTCTGTGACATCTCTTATAACCCAGCAGCTCTAGATCTGTATACTCAGGACCTAGACAGGACAGCAAATATTCTTCCTTCTGTTTTTTCCTGAGTTTTTTTTTTTACTCTTTGTACTCAAGCAGTAAAACTTCTTACATTGCTTCTCTGTTGGGAATGCTGCAGTTATTTACCAAGGTCAGAAAAGAAACACTTGCGCAAAAAGAGCCCAGCAACCTGGGAATGCATTTTTAATGATCTGTGTATTTTTTCAGTGAATAATCTTAAGACATAATTACCATTTATTTTGGAGCATTGCTTTAAATTACTTTAATTTTCTGCATTTTCGTTTTAAAGCTTCTTTCTTTGCAATCTTCTTGTTGCCAGAAATATAGAGGTGGTAATTAGACCCAGTATTTTCACGTATCTGTCTTCATACCCGAGATCCAGATGGGCTGCAGGAGGCTACAGAAACAGTTCTCACTTTACTGAGTGCAAGACAAGTTTGGACAGTGCAAGCAAATGCTTTTCCCCGTCATATTCTAACTTTTCATCACAGAGAGAGTACAAGTTAGAAATACCATATATATGCTCTTTATGGATTTATACGCATTAGAAGGGACCTGTCAAGTATCCTAGCTGCCTACATTTCTGGTATCTCCCTTCATCTATGTTGGTTACTGCATTGCTTTAAAATAGGAAAATCCTGACTTCTTGTGTATTGTGCCACTGTCTATATGATTATATTAATTCTGGAAATGTGTGGTTTACTCAAGTGTTGTAAGAAAGCATTTATACTGCATATCTTCACCTGCCGTATAGCTTAGCCATATGAGGAACTAGACTGAAAAATTCAATGTATTCCAAATAAAGAGGCTGGAGTGGAGGAGGTATTGTCAGTGAGAGGGTGACATTTTGTTACTTAGCACTGTGGCAGAGTAGAATTGATCAATACCAGGTAGGTTATATACTGCATAAATTACTGCTAATCTCTTAATCTAACTTGTCCTAAATGTATTTAAGCAAATACTGAGACTTATTTTATATAGTGACTTCTAATTTTGCACTTGGAGGTTGTGCACTCACCTGTAATCAAACAATTCCATAGTTACCTGAACTACAGGCACAGCATGTCACGTTGACTAGAAATAATGAGACATGGATTGTTCGGCTTTTTTCTGTTTTGTTCTGGGTTGGTTTGGGTTTTGCCGTTTTGGTTTTTTTTAACTCCAGCTACTGTTCTTTGATGTAGAAGCAGCTTCGACAGGGATAAGATTAAGATCTCTGTTTGAAGTCATCATACCAGGGTTGTCCTGCACTCGGTGCCCACGTGAGGTGGATAAACGATACACTCAGGAATGAAAGCAGACGCACTGTACCAGCTCCTCTGTGAAATCTGATACACAGCTGTATGTCAGCTGGTAACAAGGCACTTGCTAACCTGAGGTATCTCAGCAAATTGCATTTTTTGTAAGCTAGCCTAGAAAGGGATTTCCTGTTAGGGGTTGCGTTGGACCGTGTTAGTAGAAGGAATAAGATTGTGAGCTGGTACAGCAAGGTAATTGCATCCCTTTGCCCTTGCCCCACTCTGAGGGGGAATTTCAGCTGGTGGGATGCTGGGGAGGATTGGTTGAATCAGCTTTGAGTTGTGGCTGTGGATCCTGACATCGCAGATGATTTCATGGCACCACCAAACGATTTGTTACATTTTGAACTGTAGGAAAATTAGTTTACCTTAGAGACGGGGACAAAATGATGTTTTGCTTATAAGCAGAATGAGGCACCATCTCTTTGGTCGTGGCACAACTGTTGATATTACTCAAAGATCATATTACTTTGAATAACCTGAAACTTATCGGTGCTTTATGGCTGTCCCAAAAGACATCACCAGGAGTAGATTGTTATTTTGAAATAGAAAACATTTCAGGAAGTCAGAGACAAAAGGTTCAGCTGGTGCATTCAGTGGCAACTATTTATCCTATGGTTTTGTATCTTCAACAGGCTATCAGAAAATGGCATTTGTGTCCTGAATGTTGAGACTATTTCACAGCCATTATTACCAGTACTGTCATTATAAGCCTGCTTGCTTTAGCCTGCGGGTAACAAAGTTCACTGCTCCGTCAAGCTCTGTCATAATCAGCCTTATTATAAAAACATAATACTGTAACCTTCAAAGGCTCCCTGGGCTAGTGCTATAAAAACTGGGAATGTACTGAAGTAATCTTTAGGCTAGCAGCAGTTGCACTGGGAAAATATAACTATTTTTATGCATGTAATGTACATGCTCCCTCCCCACCCTCTTCGTGCTCTTCTTAACAGGACAAAAGCTATCCCTCAGACCCCTTTTGGAGCCAAATTAGCTCATCAAAGCAGAACAAGTTTGTAAAACAGTGTTCACTGCGTATCAAATGCCGATGCAGTGCTTTGATTTCCATTCTTTGGAGTACAGTTGCCATATTTGGACTATTTCATTTCAAGGAGGAAAGCTATTAAGTGTTTCCCCCAAAGTAGCTGATTATTCAGTGGCTAAAGATGTCAAGGATAATGAAATAAAAAGGGAGCTAGGCTGTGATAGTCCTTAGCAGGAAAATGCATCTCATTAGAAGGCGTTCCCACCAGAGAAGTCTATGGTATTATATGCATGAATTCCTTTCTGCTGTTAAGTTGTTAACCAAGTTTTGGATGCAAACAGCATGTAGCCTCAATGACAGTGCACAACTGTGTACAAACAGTAATTAATCACTGGCTCCCTGAATGGAGCCTCTGTGAGGCTGGAGGCAAATCAAAGGGCTGGCCTGGTTTCCAGCGCTCAAGGAACACGCCGTGCTGTACAATTGGGAACAGTCACGTTATGAGTATCACCTTGTAAGCCATGTGGCAGGAGGCTGAGTAGCTGGTCTCCACGGGCTCAAGTCTGTGCTCAGCAGAAGGACCTGCCCCTTGGTGCGTGGTGATGGGGACAAACTGTGCATCCAGGGGTCTTTCGGTCGAGTTTCCTGGCAATTCTAGAAGGAAAAAGAAAATCAGTCCCACTACAAAAAATATTTTTATGTGAAGTTGTATATTCAAGGCAGTTTGCAAGCGTGCTTTATTGAAATGGCAATGGTGTTTTCTACAGGCAGACACACGTTAGGAATTTATTGATACTTTGGCTTTGGCAACAGAGACCAAATATGCTGACAAGAAGTGTAAGCACTCTCTCCCACCCCCGCCCAGTATCTTGGCTGGAATTCTGAGCATTTTGACCAGGCAGCACATTTTGAGGCAGAGAAAGGGGTTGTGTCGGTGTGAAACATGGTGGTTGTCATTAGAGGATCAACACCCTACCAGCGGTCCTTGCAGTGGTGTCGGAGACGCTGCAGTATTTCCTTGTACTTAGAAGAAGCGAAGTGGCTTCCCAACAGAGAGCACTGTGTGGGAAATGTGGGCAATTATCAGTCTGGTTGGAAGGATAGCGAGTGGGTCACTGTCGTACTTGGTGCCACTGTGGGTTTGGGGAGGGCTTGTGCTGCAGTGTGTTATGGACGCCAAGGCCAGGGAAACCATTGGATACTGAAGTGTATTGCACTGTATTATATAACCACCTAAAAAATGCCATGATATCTGCACTATATGTGACAGTAATCGTCCCCAAACTGCAGCTTGCAATAACCATAGTGCAGCACATGTGCCTACCATTACAGAGTATTGGGACCTTTTCTGCAATGGTAAAATCCATTTTCCTGGACAGTTCAGTGTCAGAGTGAACAGAACTTCTCCCTGTGCTGTATCTGTCTAGCAAAAGGAGATGAAATACAGGAGGGCTAAGGCAGTCATATAAATTGAATTACTCTGGTTTTATGGTATTCATATGAAAATAAAATTGGGCTGGTTCATCACTTGATGTAAATTGTCCTAGGGACATGGTGAAATTTGTATCAGCTGAGGTAATGTTCTTTCTATTTGTCTAACAAATTTTTATTTGTCTAACACATACCTCATTAGAGGTCAAAATCACAGTGATCAGTTTTTCATTCATCTCTTTCTTTCTTTTATTAAGCAGATGAAGTGTTCGGGTTTTTCCCCTTCACATCCTTATGACAGTCCGTGGTGTCACGTAAATATTGGTACAGAGCTGTAAGGTCTCACACTAACTTTGCAAACAGGCTTCTGTACCTATACCTTTTTCTTCTTATCTGTAAGCCTAGTATTGACCAGTGTTACTTGTACCTTGACAGGTCTGATTGTCCGAGAGGTAAGCATTGAGATTTCCCGCCAGCAAGTTGAGGAGCTATTTGGGCCCGAAGATTACTGGTGCCAGTGCGTTGCCTGGAGTTCAGCCGGCACCACCAAGAGCCGAAAAGCCTACGTCCGCATTGCATGTGAGTGTCTTTCTGCATGTTGAGTTGATGGTGTTCGAGTGAGAAAAAGTGGAGATTCTGCCATTTGGGAGAGATATGTTGTTTCTGACCAGTTAGGCATTGTATTTTCTACATTTACTGATGCATAATAAAATTAAGGACTTCAGAAGCATTCATATAAATTTCAGTTTATCCTGTCCTTATGAGCAAAATCTTGTTTTCCTCCTTTGTGTATGGGGAAAGCGTCAAAAAGTATTTCCTGAGTATAACAGTTACATCTTAAGAAAAGTGTCTGAAGCTAATGAATATGAATATTACCAAAGCAAACTATGAAATGGAGTGACAATTGTTCTTCTCACAGAAGCACAAAGTGGTTGAGATTGAAAGTGACCTCTTGCTCAAGCAGGGCCACCTAGAAGTGGTTGCTCAGGACTATGTTCATATGGCTTTTTGATATCTCCAAGGAGGGAGACCTCACCACCTCTCCAGGCAACTTGTGCTGATTCTCAGTCACCCTCACAATGAAAAGTTTTTCTCTGATGTTCAGAGGGAACCTCCTGTGTTCCAGCTTGTGCCCATTGCCTCTGGTGCTGTCACTGGACATCCCTGGAAAGAGCCTGACTCCATCCTTATTGCACCCTCCGTTCAGGTGTTGGAACATACAGAGGCAATCCCCCTGAGCCTTCTCTTCTCTAGGCTGAACAGTCCCAGCTCTCTCTGCCTTATCTTGTAGGAGAGATGCTCTGGTCTCCTGGTCATCTTTATGGCCCTTCGCTAGATTCTCTCCAATATGTCTATGTCTCTCTTGAACTGGGGAGCCCAGAACTGGACCCAACAGTCCAGGTATGACCTCTCCAGTGCTGATTTGAGGGAAAGGATCCCCTTCCTCGACCGGATTTCAATGTTTTCTCTGATGCAACGCAGGATACCATCAGGCTTGTTTGCCACAGGGGCACATTGCTGATGCCTGGTCTACTTGGTGTCTACCAGCACCCTCAGTCTTTTTCTGCTCAGCTGAAAATATAAATCTCTGCATTCATATAATAAAGCTACTGTCCTTAACAAAGAAAAAGTGTATGTGTAGCATATCATGTAATCATATCGGAATTTGAAAGTGATTTTCTCAATTCTAATATTTCATCATTGTTATTCATGGCTACTACCCTCCGTATTTATTTTGAACCATTCCCAGCTTAGACCTCAAGAACACAGGGCAACTAGTTCCTTGAAAACAGATCTTCATTTGACTGTGCAAATATTTAATGTTCATTAATTTTCAAAGAGGTGCTTTCCTTTGTAATAGAGTAGTCACATTGGGGACTCCCATTTCTCTTTCACGTGATGAAATCTAGTTTTGTATGATGGGAGTAGAATATATCATCCGGAATTGTATCTCTTCCACTGTTTTGACCTCAGCAAAAATACATTTTATGAGAAAAGGTCGTTAGGAGCTGGGTTTGCAGCATACTTCTATTTTCTGCACTGTGCCTAACAATTTATAATGAGATAAAAGATTTCTTGCAGTGAAATAAACCTTTTCACAGACATATTAGGAGAAGGACTCTCTGCCATTTAAAACTCTCCATTTAGAGCTTGATTCTCCTTTTGTTCTTGAGAAAGTATTACGTGGTTAATCTTCGAAAAGGAGTGACCTTCTGTGTAAACATCCAGATACAAATCTCAGAGGTACAATTTAAATACCCATTTCTGAATGCTTTTAGTCCAAGTAACTGACTGGAAATAGAAGACTTGTACTTTTGAGTAGTGGACTAACCTCAGAGAAAGAATTCCCCAGGGTTAAGGGGAGTTAAAATTATTGTACAGACAGTCTTCCTGCAAGATTAGAAATGCCATTACTTCTGTGCATAGTGCCTTACCATGGCTTGAAACTTTTCAAGACTTTGATGATTTTCTTTTTCTGTACTGAAACCAAAGCAAGCGATTTCATTTTTTTTTCTTCTAAATAGTCGGCACTTCAGAGAGGCTTAGCAATGTTTGAACAAATTTTTTAGATTATGACTCCTGGGTTAACTCATTAAGTAGATTTTCATGTCCTGCCAGTTAGCCCTTGACAGATGACCAGTAAACGAATACAGTTTAGAAGTCTGAGTGTATTTGACTTGATGGTTACTTTTGTGTAGTGCCATACCTATGCACTTAATTTCTATTCAACAGGTACATTGTACATGTATGCAAGTTATTTTATATCAGTTGACTTTTCTTCCCAGATGTCCAAATTTCTATTGAGAGTGTTCATAATATACAGTTTCTATATTTTGAAGAGAGGGAAACAATAACTTCAGTGATATTTCTAGAATTTTAGTTTGTTGGGGTTTGGGTTGGTTGGTTGTTGGTTTTTTTTAGAATAGTCTTAATTAAATAAATTCCAGGAAGTTTGTCCTGATTTGAGAGTACCACAATAAAAATTTTCTATAGCCACACTAACCTGAGGCCACTTAGGACACCTTCCTGTTGCTGCCAGGCTGTTGACTGGGCAATCACAGGAAGGAAGGGAGGCAGCTGTGCCTATGGGAAGGAGATGATGGGTCAGGTGACCCAAATAGACCATGGTGCTCCGTATAAAAGGCTCCTAAGGAGACTCTTGAGGGGTTTAAGTTGATGGTGTGTTTGATATTGCTGGTCTATCAGGTTCCTGTGTGCTGCTCATGTTTCTGCATCCTGTTTTTTTACTGGAGAAGAGCATCATGCACTGAGACAGGTTGTCTTCCCCATGAGTAGTACTGGTGTGGCTACTCCAGTGTTTGTTTGTTGTTCTGAGGTTTGCTTTTGGTTTTGGTTTTTTTTGTGGGCTATCATTGGGACCCTGGGGTCAGGCACTCCCATCGGCTGCCAAGTCCAATTTGGGACTTTTCTGGTCAGGAACTAGTTGTCATCTGGAAAGTGTGGGTTCCATATTTGTGTATTCAAAGATGTAAATGAGTGTATGTGTTTGTAACTCAAATATGCATTTGGTTTTGTGTTTCTTTAACCTCGTGTCCCTAAATTTGGGGTTCTTCAGCAGCTGGCAAGGAAGATGTGCTTACTGGTGTATGGGGCAGTGCAAGGTTGACAATTGCACTCAATTATCTTAAAGGTCTTCTCCAGCCTAAAAGATTCTATGACTCTAATGAACTCTAAACATAGCTGATAAGGGTTTGGATGATTATACAATGTACTGTGAGACTAGGATGCAAGGTGGAGTACACCCAGTATTTATCAATCCAGAAAGTTAAGAATGTCCAAAACTTAAGAGGGAGAGAAGAGTCCATCTCTGTCTGCAGCTCGACTAGAGCATGTTTGTCGTCAATGCAGTCTTCACTTTTATTTGGTAAAAAAAGTGAGTGCTGAGACCTTTGGGAAAGATGAGGCGTAAATGGAGCATGTAAAGTGCTCTGCTTATATTATTATTTGTCTTGATACCTGAACCTCGTGATTTCATCTTGACAGGTAGAACTGTAGCATAACTAGCCATACTTGGCACATTAAGAAAAGCCTCTTTCCTTCTACCTCTTCTTGTCCTCCTCCTCATCCTCTTTCACAGAATCACAGAATGTCAGGGGTTGGAAGGGACCTCAAAAGATCGTCTAGTCCAGCCCCCCTGCCAGAACAGGATCACCTACAGTAGGTCACACAGGACCATGTCCATTTGGGTTTTGAATGTTTCCAGAGAAGGACACTCCACAACCTCTCGGGCAGCCACCTTCTTTTTTCCTCCTCTTTCTCTCTTTTCTCTCTTATGCCCACCAGTCTTCTGGAATTACTGTGTCCTCTCAAGGGCTGGAGCTGCACTCCATTAAAACAAAACAAACAAAAAAAATAACATGCAACATCTCTGTTCACTGAGCGTGTAATAGAATTAACTGAAAAGTAATTTGAAAGTGTGAAAAATGTGCGTCCTGGAAATGCAGCTTGTATTTGTTTAATGCAGGGTCAGGCATGTGTCAGAAAGTACATAACAACCTAGTCAATGAAAGTTCTCTGTGAAAATCAATTTCGACATAGCTCTGGCCAAGAGCTTCAGCTATTCAGGAAGGGAGTAATCTATAAATATGGAGTGAAGATGCTGCTAGTTTTCAAAGGCTGCCCATGATATCAATACAAACAGGAAAATAGTCTTGAGTCTAAAGCCAACATCCTGGCTTCCTAAGTGATCAGGGCCTTAAATGACATCTCATCATTGCACTCCTGGACCATGGCTAGGAAATCACTCCCTTGTGCAGGCTGTTTCTGAAAAGGAGCTTTTTTTTCTATTTCATGGAATTGATCTTCCTGAGGCACTGGTCTCCCCATGAGAACAGAGCTGAGCATTTCATCCTCTTAAACTAGCAGATTTGTTGGGAATAATTTTCAATTTGCCATTCTAGGTATCTCAGTAACCAGCAAGGTAGGAACAGCTAATGCATATCTTGATGGAACTGGAAAGATGTAATACATTTTTCTGAGATACTGGCCTGTGAAAGTGCTAAAAAGCGTTTCCTATTTATTCACACATTTTTTATTTTTCTAAGCACATTCTGTTTGGAGCACTAGGAGTCACTAATATGTTTTGGTATAGTTTTTCTGCTCAATTAAAAAATGTTACTTTTGTGGAAGTAGGGTGGGAGGAAGGAGGGGAGTTAGGTGGTTTTACTCTTGGCTGAAAAAAATACCAAGACCAATATGAAGTTTTAATGTTTGTTTTATGTAACAAGACTGATGTCATTGTACAGATGAAAACCTAACAGGGCAAAATTCCTATTAAAAGGATGAATGAGATCTGAGCCTGTGTAAACGAGAGTAGAGTTAAACCCACTGGAAAATACATCTGATAAAGCCTAAACAATAGCTGCACTATTTGACCTAATTTTTTGATCAGATAATAAAGGGGTGGCTAAGACAAATTGCTTTGAGCCTATGTGCATAGAGCAACCTCACTTTTCATTTGCTCGAGTTCAGTGTTTCTGAAGCCTCACTGACTTCATAATATTAACCCATGCTGTCCTTGAGAAAATAAAGTAAGAATATAAGCCCTAAATCTACTG